TTTATTAATAGCAGTACTATTCCCTTTTTGCTTAGATGTGAGATGCTTCACATTATAAACAGTGAACACTAACGTGGCATATTGGGTATCGTTTACATCATTTTAGGAGTGGAAGGGACTTCAGTGGCCAACTAGTTTAAGCTATTCCCAAGAGGAATTCCCAATAAGTGGCTATCCAGCCTCTGCTTGCTAATCTCCAAGAAGGGGAAACACACCCACCTGCCTGGGCAATCCATTCCACTTTTGTACAGCTCTAATTATTTTTAAAAGACTTTTTCCCCTGAAATTAAGGCTAAATGCCCTTTTGCATTTTTTTTTACCTAGCATGCCTGATTCTGCTGCTGGAAATATAATAGCTATAGCTTAAGATAATTGGCATATAGGAAAATTAAATTAAACTGAATACATTAAATCCCTTTTCTATAAGAGAGCCCTTCAGATACCTGAAAAAGATCTCATGTTCTCCATTAATCTTCTTTTCTCCAGGCTAACCATCCCCAATTCCTTTAAATAATCTCATGTAACAGAGACTCAAAGCTTTTCACTATTCTTAGTTGTCCTTCTTTGGATGATCTCCAGGTCATGAATGGATATGTGCGGTCTAAAAAGGTGGTGGGGCAGTTACATAATAAGAGAACAAGTTAAGTGATGGGTTTCTGTTATGTGGCATTGGTACCTGAAAAAGTTATGGAGACATGGAAGAAGATCCAGAGCACATTGAGTAGATCTTTGGAGGATTGATGGAAGAACATGGAGTAGAATTGCAGAGAATGAGAAAATATTGCCTCATTGGAGAAAATATCCACAAAGACAAGATGATAGATCTATAACAGTGCCATCCCTCAGTATTCAGAATGTTTGCCCTTCCAGTCTTATCCTCTAAGTTTATAATTCTGAGCTATCTTGTTATTATACCCTTTTGAAATTATCTACCAATTTCAAATATGGATTTGTAGAAAGTGTTAGGCACATAAGCAGTATAAGACTTTCTTACTTTATCTAAACATGGATTTTATTTTGTGAATAGCAAAGGGGCTTAAGTGTCAGCTTAGTATAAGTAACTAAGCTTTCTGGATATTATTTTAGTAATGGCATTTGTTTGGCCCAATATTGTATTAATGGATAGAATTAAACAAGATGAAATAAAAAATGAGTATCTGCTCTGTGCTGTATGATAATTCTATTTTTATAGTGCAAAAAGTGCTATCTATTGACATAGGTATAATTTCCTTAATAAGCAGTTTTTTCACAAATTAGCCTTCATTTTTTTTTCCTATGTGCCAATTATCTTAAGCTATAGCAAAAGCATTTTAATGTGAGAAGCTGGGGGGAGGCCATAGAACTTTGGAGAATATTATACAAACACACACACACAGTCTCACACACACTTATACATATCATATATATACATATATATATATGCATATATATATGTATATATATGTATGCATATATATGTATGTATGTATGTATGTATGTATGTATGTACAGAGACAGAGGAAGGGAGACAGCAACAGAGAGAGAGAGGCAGAGAGACAGACACAAAGAGAGACAGAGAGAAAGAAAGAGAGAGTCAGAGTAGCTCCTCCAGTGGGGCAGATTGTGACCCTTCATGCCTGTCTGGCCTATATGACTCTCCTCAACATTTTCCCATGATTTTACCACATGGGGTCTACCCAATATATGTGAAAGATGGCCTCCTATTCTCTTTGTATTACATGAATAATGATGGAATATGTGATCAATTCATGCTTCTGAAGGAGGAGGGAGGACCTGTGGATGGAGCCATCTATAGTGATTTATAAATATCCATGAGCACATTTTCTGAAAATTAAGGAATTCTATCAACCTCTGTGTTTAGTTTTATTGACTTATTGGATAATTACATTTAAAGGTGCATGAACTCTGCATCTGCTAGGGTTGATACCTTTGTATCATGATCTAAGTACCTTTTTCTACTGCTGTATTAAACCAAATAGCCCCAACAGTCAAAAGCCATTTGGAAGTTAGGCTATTTTTAGGGAGAGTAGTATTGCTACTAGTGTTTTTCTTCATTTCCTCTGTATTACACAAAGACAAGGACCTAGCAATTGGCACTGAGACAGATTGCTTGTGTACTCCTCCTGAATGGATAGATATGCTGACTAGAGAGCAGTTTACATGCTTTTAGTAAATACTCAGTAGTTAGATCAACTCAGTTTGGATCTTTGTATTTGTTACCCAAAACTCTGCATCTAACTAGGATAATAATCACATTACTTGATAGTGAATAGTAAAAGAATAAATCAGTTATGTTTTATTTAAAGAGTTTTGCATGAGGGCTATTTAGTGTTTGCTTCTTCAATTAGCTTTATACTGCAACGCTCCTTGGATAGCTTAAAATGTCCTGTCATTTGTTAATTTCTCTGTGGCTACTTTATGATAAAAATAATTGCTATGAAGGTCTGATGGAAGTGTTGATTGATTTTGACAACAATGTTAAAATTGATTCCTAGTTTGCATTAAGAAGTTTTTAGATAAGAAACCTACAGGGGTAGTTTCCTGAAAAAAAGGAAGTAGTAGGAGAGGCTATTTATTAATCAACTTTTGATCCTTGAATGTCCCCTTGAAACTTTTCCTAATATTTATTTTGTTATTTACCTCCTAACATGTTATGTTTCATATTTAAAATTTCACTTAGTTGCTTTCACTGTCTCATAATTTCCATAATTTGATATAATCAAACTCTGAATCCCCCACTTACATTAAATATAACTTTTATTTTTGATGTTGAATTTTTAATTAGTCTAGTATAAAGAGTTTAATTAGTGCACAATCCAGACCAACAGTAAGCACAAAACAAATATACTGGTTTGGGGGATCCAAGAATATTATGCATCTCCTTTGTGGTATCAACTCATTTGCTGAGCTAACTTTTTCAGGAAATAGGCAAATCTTACCACATGCTATATTGTTTCCTTTTGGAGCCATGTCTGTTATTCACATACACCTAGTACTGTGTAATTCATGTTCAAGTCTTTGTATTCAAAATACCTTATTTTTTCAGCTTGTAAAGAGTAACTCAGGTTTGAAGCCAGTAAATAGATCAAGATATGGCATAATGAACTAAATGTAGATACATGCTTATTGAATGTAAATGAATGACAATTAGACCTGTCCACCTTGAGAAAGATCATAATTGAAGGGAACATTGGAGATTAGGAGAGCAGATAATGTAGTGAGCATAAAAGGGTTCTTAGACATGGCTCTCTAAGAGTGAGAGCTTTCTCTCTGCAGGATGAAATGAGAGAAGTCATTTTTACACGCTACTCTTTTTCTGCCTGTAAATGCTTTGGGGTCATTCCAGTAGCCTACTTGGATGATTCTTTTTCTTTGTTCCAAGTATTTCCTTATCTGTGAAATGGGCAAAATAATGCTTGTACATGCTTAATGGGTTATTGTGAGGAAAAGTCTTTATAAACTTTACAGCACCATAGAAATATGTATAATAATGCAGAGTTACAAATTATGTGACTGTCATTCTTTCCTTTCCTAAATATGCAGTCTTCCTCACTTCTATTATTTTACTGTCTGTCTCATTGTATCTTATATCATATGCTAAGGCTCTGGAAGGACATGCAATATCCACAATTTTAGGTTAAACTTATATTTCGAGAAAAAAATCAGCTCATTGGTGTTCAGTTATGGGAGCTAGAATATTAAGGAGATCTATTTTGAGAGAATTTTAAGACCATTTCAGTTGGAAGATTGGTAATGGAATTAACACATATTTGAACTGTCATATTATGTGTAAAGTTAGGTATGACAGGAAGGGGTTTTCAACTGAGATGAATAAATTTTTATTTCAATGCATATATCATTCTTCAACAAGATCATAGAGCATTACATGCAAGGTATTTCTTTAATTTGGTCACATAGCAATATCTAAGCATCACAAATAATGCTTGTTGCACTGACTGTGATAAATAGCAATTTGGCTTTTTTCCCAAAGAGTGATGACAGAAGTCATTGCTGTGCACCAAAGAGTAATTCCATTTTGCTTCATTATCTTCTCCTACAAGGGAATATACATCTTTATCCTCATCTCACTTTCTTTTTTTCCAAGAAAGTAGCCTATATAGTGGAAAGCATGATAGATTAGGAGCCAAGATACATGGATTTTAGTTCTAACATAACTCTTGACTAGCCTATGTGATCTAGAACAAGTCATTTTGATTTTTAAGCCTCATTTGTAAAAATATGAATAATAGCAATATCTATACTGCCTCTTTCACTGTATTGTTATGATGAGGAACAAATGCATAAGTAAAATGGAAGACAGTGTAACACTTTATAGTAAAAATTTCAATTCAGATAAAAAACAGCAGGAGCCCAAAGTGGGAAACATGATAGCAGGCTCAGTAGAGCAGTTAATGGATGTGCTATTGTTTTAGAACCATACTACAAACCACCTACACAGAAGGATGAAGTAGATGAGAGTTTTGAGTTTTAGAGAGGTATCACGAATGTGATGTGGAGATATGATATAGTATTGGTAGGGGACTTCATTTATGTGCTGGAACATTCTCAGTCTCTGTGTCTCTATGTCTTTTTCTTGGTAAACATCTTTAAAAGACCTTTTAAAAAGACTAAGACCAAAGAAATTTCATAAAAATGGTGGGAAATAATGTGTGACTAAAATTTTACTATTAGAAATATCTTATTCTGTTTTAATAATTATGAGAAATAAAACATGCAACTATCAGAACATTTTTCTCTGCTGGAATATTATTAGATTATGCAAACAACAAAATAACCCCCAAAATTAAATTTAAAAACTCATAAAAATTCTTTGGTTCTTCATCAAATCAAGCCCTTTCGTTTCATAAAATGTACATTGAAATTGTGCAACTGAAAGTGTCATTTTTTCTCTTTATGACAAGCTTCTCTCATACTTGCCCTCCCTCCTATAAAGATATAAGGAAATATTTGTCTCTGTTCCTACTTTCTCTTGCAAATAGACATCGAAGCCACTGGATTCATCAATCTGTTGGTCTCTCCAAGTTTCCAGTTAATGAGTTAGAAGACCACAGCACAGCTGAGGAGGAGGGTGCTCTGTAGCCTCAAAACTTGCCCAGACGATGTTCTGCACCAAGCTGAAAGACCTTAAGATTACTGGAGAGTGCCCTTTCTCTTTACTGACTCAACGCCATGTCTCAGAAGAACATGAAGAGGAATGTGCAGAGCGACCTGATAGTTCTAAGGCAGCTCTGCCCGTGTGCCAGGAAGTTACTGAAAAACATGTAGGTACAAATCTTCCTCAAAGAAAGACCAGCCGAAACCGAGTGTATCTGCACACTTTAGCTGAGAGCATTTGCAAACTGATCTTTCCTGAGGTAAATAGTGACACTTTGACAATATTTATCCCTTTAATTTCTGCCTGTTGAAGTTTCCTGGGGAGATTGGGAATTCATTTAAAACCAATCCATAACCATCATTTCAAAAAATGAAACTACTAATTCTTTTTTCTCTTTCAGCTAAAATATTTCTTTTTTTTTTTTAAGCTTCCTTCTTCCAGCAGCTCCAAGGAGCAGAACATGGGCCCTGCAGGGCTGAGGAGTTTCAAAAACGGCTTCTCTACCCTCTCTGATTTGGTTTGATTGGAGACTGTCTGAGCTAGAGTCAGTTACCCTAGTAGTCACTAATCCATAACAGCTGCTGGCTCTTGTCACTTCCTTGATTATATATAGGAGATGCTCTGCATAGTGACATATTGAGGTCTTAGTAACTGTCACATTTCCACTTTTGTGGAATGCCTGGAGATACAAAATTCTGCTGAGATCCTTAAGTATCTCAATAGCCAAGTGGAAATGCAGAGAGTATTTCTGCTTCCTCCAGGGTATGTAGTGCATGGGGGATGGGATGGGGATGGCCCCAAAGATTATAGCATTATACATCTATAACTCGAAAGGACTTGTAGGTTTCATAGACCATTTAGGCCAACTTTCTCATGTTAAAGATTAAGAAACTGAAGCCTAGACAGGTTAAATAAAGTGCCTAAATTCATACAAATAATGTCAGAAGTGTGGTTTGAAATCGGACCTGTTGACTCTAGAGCCAATGCTTTTACAACACTCATTATTTTCTCTTTATGGAAATTTACATGGCATTTCCCTTCACAGGTTTATACAAGTTGCTGACGAAGCCCAATCTCTAACCAATGGGACAAGAAATCAAGTTCATACATTCACATTGATTGATAATCATTCTTTTATTCACCCACTTTTTGTGACCAGATTCAAAACTCAAATGGATCTGTGATCTCATCAATCTGAATGTCCCTCCAATGATGCCTCTCTCATCTCACCTCTATCTGCTCATCTTGTAATAATGATGATGATAATGATGTGTTAAATTCTTTACAAATATTATCTCATTTGATCCTCACAACAACCCTGGGAAGTAGGTGCTGTTATTATCCCCATTTTGCAGTTGGAGAGACTGAGGCAAACAGAGGTTATGTGACTTGCCCAGAGTCACAAAGCTAGTGTCTGAGGCTGGATTAGAAATCAAGTCTTACTGACTCCAGGCCCACTACTCTATCCACAATGCAACCTAGTTGCCTTGTCCTATATGGCTCTTCTCCCTGTTCTCCTATAAGTTCACCCCAGGAGATCTACCAAACTTGTGGGGAACTTTGTCACTTTCTTTTGACATTGTGAGGGGACCAGAGGATCATACGGGCTGCCTATTGGTTATTCCTCAGTCTTTCAGTGTGGCCTGCCCACTTTATTTGTCAATCACACATTTCTTTGACGATGATGTCCTTTACTTTGATTCTCCTTCATGCTACTTTCTGATTCTTCTTCATAGCTCCCTTTTGTTATGGATTGTATCCTGTTTGTGTCCATGATACATTAGTATAGTACTTCAAGGGAAAAAAATAGCACTGGCAGGTATGTCAGAGATCATCCAATCCAAATTCTTTGTTTGACATCAAAGGAAACTGAATTTCAGAAGAGTCCGAAATCACACATCTTGTTCCTACAAGGATGTGACCAGCCTAAGCACTGTGGTAAATATACAAAAAAGAAAATATTTAATGTAGCCCTGCCTCTAAAGCTCTTACTTACAGAAATAAGTGCATGAAATATTTACATAATAACATAATACCTAGCATTTATAGAGTACATAAAGTTTGGAGAGTACCTCATGTATATTACCTCTTTTGAGCATCACCATGACTGTTAAGTAGATACTATGTTTATCCTAATTTTACAGTTCAAGAAACTGAAGATGAAAGAGGTTAAGGAAATTGACAAGGGGCACACAGCCAGTAAGTTCCTGAGGCAGGGTTTGAATTCAAGTTTTCCTGATTTCAAATCTAGTTCCCTAACCACTATACCACTAATATACTTTATGACTTGGTGCCAAAATGAGTGATCAGACAACAAATATTATGGGAACTCAAGGAGGTCCATAAAAGGCATGTGGAATGATGATAATGATGATGATGATGATGATGGTGGTAGTGGTGGTGGTGGTGGTGGTGGTGGCAGTGGCTGTGGTGATGGTGGTGGCACAACTGGAATTTATGTAGCACTTAAAAATTCATAAATTGCTTTGCCTTCATTATCTCATTTGAACCTCACAACAACCCCAAGAAGTAGGTAGTAAAAGTATTAGCATATTTATAGGTGAGGAGAGTATGGCTTTCTAACTTGCCTAAGGTAACACAACTGATAAGTATCAGAGGCTTGACTTGAATCTAATTCTTCCTGACTTGCAAGTCTGTGCTCAGCTACATGTTGCCTCTCATAAGAAAGTGCCTGGAGCTGGGAGGGGAAAGATTCAAATATCAACAACTCACATTCGGCTCATGCTTTAAGCTTTGTAGTGTGTTTTCCTCAAACCGACTTGTAAGTGTGTTAGATAATTTAAGTATCATTATCTCCATTTTAGATGTGAAGAGAACTAAGGTACAGAGAATTTAAATGACTCACTCACAGTCATACAGTTGATAAAACCCTGTATCTAGGATTAGAAAATGGTTCACTATGAATTCCAAGTTCATTGCTTTTTGTGCCACACCATGCTGGAGAGATACGGCTCCTCTAATTCTCCCAGGGAGAGAATGAGAGAAGGCACAGGGAGATTGTATGAATATGAAGAACTCTTCATTATACAAGCTAAGGACAGAGACAGTGTTAGTATTCAGATGTTGCTTAGTCCTTATCCTTTAGTGCTTACTCATCAATGATTTCATTGGTCTCTAAATCATAATCCGTCTAGCCCTTAGTAGACAGTCTTCTTGAGTTTTGTGCCTGGCTAGCCACTTCAAATTTCCTTGGTAGATTAATCCTTAAACAACAAACATACCATGCGGTTGGACCCTTACTCAATGCCTTTTCCCTTGGATAGGATCAAAGGGAGCTTATACTCTGCCAGCATGTCATTGGAGGTCCCAGGGTCATCTCCATGCCATGAGGAGATATGGGAGTAGGACTTTGGTAAAAATATTTCTTATCAAGTATGACCAAAAAAATACATTGTAGCAGATTGTTTTTATTCTGTTTTGTTTTCTAGATAGTCAGAATTTGTTCCATAGTGGGAGTTTATGTGTCTCAAAGTTTCTTGCTGGCACTTGTATTTTCTTAGAACAAATTGACAGTTTCTTTTTCTTCAGATTCCCCTCTTCTTTAAAGGGGAAGTCATTATTGCCTCATCTATGACAGAAAAGACTGTCCTATTCTGTCCTTCTTAGTTCTAAGGTAGGACTTTATAGGATTTTGCGTCCTGCCTCAGCTGTGTAATCCTTCCTGGACAAGTCACTTAACCCCTTGGAGCCTATGTCCTCATCTGTAAAAATGGAGGTAGTAATAACTATTGCACTCACCTCATAGGGTTGCTGTGAAGACTAAACAATATAAGGTATGTAAAGTGCTTTATATAAATGTTGCTATTATTATTATTACTAATCTATTCAATCAGTTGGAACTTTAAGGGGCAACATAGGAAAATGAAATCTTCCAAGGCATAAATAACCAGAAAGCAATCTTCTCTTTTCTCAGTGCAAGTGGAAAAGAAATATTAGCTATGAGGAATCTGTGTAACAATTTGGTTGGAAATCATCTACACTTACCTTAATCCCTCCATTTGCTATTAGTTTAATCAGCCATTGAATTCTTAAGCCCTTACTAGATGGATAGCATTTTCCTAGGCATTATCAGGAATATAAAGGAATTATCTGGTTATTTCCATAAGGAACTCACAGTCCAGATGGGGGGAGAAAAGCCCAACATATGTGAAACGTTTATATAGCAGTACATAATTATGAAGAGCTAAATGTTGCCAACCATAAATTCAATAGTATCTCATAGATTCTAAGAATTGAAGGAGACTTCAAGAACCATGTTTTTCAACTATATTTAACTAGGTATATTTTTACAAATACCTCTGCTTGAAGAATTCTCACCACTCACTACTTCCCCAGGGCTGCCAATTTGACTTTGGGATAAATGTAATTGTTAAAAACTCTTCCATATATTAGCAATGAGAGAGAGAGAGAGAGAGAGAGAGAGAGAGAGAGAGAGAGAGAGAGAGAGAGAGAGAGAGAGAGAGAAATCCAAGAGTGATTTTTAAGGAAGAACTTGACAGAATTTGGTGGCAGAGTTGATCAAGAAGATAAAGGATATGGAAGAACCAAAGAGGATTCCCAGTGTTTTTATCATGGCAGACTGGAATAATGTAGGCAATTTTTATAGGTTTGTAGAAGGTGGGAAGTGGAACCAATTTAGTATAGCTTTTTGGGGGGTGATTCAAGATGAAGAGTTTGATTTGGGTCATGTTGATGTGGATGGGATATCAAAGTGAAGCTACTGACTCAGGGAAATAACAAATGATACCTCAGGACCAGACTTAAAATGACTATAACAGAGACTTTTATTTTGGACCTGAACCAGTCTCACTTTGGGGCTGGGTACAGAAGGAGAAGGATAATGCATTCATCCATAAGAACAAAGTCTGTAGGACCCAATATATATCCATGTCTTGCTGCTCTTTCATGAGGTTAAACACACACACACACACACACACAAAGTACCAACTTCTGTAGTATAAATTGATTCCATTTCTCATTAAAATAGTACCATTTGTGTTTCATCTTATGAGAAAGGCATGGTTCATTTATTTTTATTTATATCTTCATTGAATTGACATTTTGAAAGGATTTTTTAAACTTTTTTCTGTTCATAGTATGAAAGACTGCATCTTGCACTTCAGAGAACATTGGCAAAGCATAAAATACAAGAGAAGAGGTAAGTTTAAAACATTTTTAACACAAAGAAACAAAAACGAATAACTAGTATTTGAGTTAGTGGAAACCAAAACTTGTAAAACATGGGAAAGAATTCCAATAACATTGTTAGAACTGTTACTAAGACATTGTGTTCTATGCATAAAAAAAGCAGATGAAGATGAGAGAATAGTAAAATAAACTGAAAAAATTCTGGTAATACCTTGATTGTCAGACAGTCTTGAGAATAGTTATTCTAGATATTCAGACATTCTGGATAGCAGGAGATTAAAATTTTAAGGGTTGTGTCTTTTTTCTTCATTTTATGGAAATCTTTCAAAAAGATAATATCCTTGCCCTCCTGCCTTTAAGAGTATATTAAGCATAATCATTTATTGAAATATTCTGTAGTTATAGCTATATAGCTATTATTTATAATATTATAATTATCACATAGGTAGCTGTTTTGCTACCTCATTCCCACCCCCCAGAATAAATATACCCTAATCATAATAACTGAGTGGTATAAAACATTTGATTTAATGCAATTTGGTGAGTTAGGAAGAATGCAACTATTACTATCCCCATTTTCAAAGGAGGAAACCAAAATTAGGGGACTTGCTTCTTTTTATGTGGCTAATAGTGACACGGCCAGGATTCAAGTTCAGTTTTCTGACTCCAGGTACAGTGCTTGCTGCACTAGACCATATTGATTCACAATGACCATGCCATCGACTCGCCTTCCTGTGAAGATTGTGTTTATTTGTTTTCTATCCACTCCTAATTTTCTCTGTGTTGTCAGTGTCTACATCTTCTCATACCCATTGCTACTTGTAACTACCACTCCTGTGAATGATCTCTATCACTCTTTTCTCTTTCAGATTTTTTTTAATACAGAAAAAAAAGGTGTATGGATATCTTCTGGTTTTAGATGACAATCATTTTTCCAATACATCCAATTAGTTCTTTTTTTCCCTATATTTTGCTGTGTCTTCCAGATTTTTCAGCCTTTGTGGGTAAAATTGTCAATGCTAGAGCAAACCAAAACTAGAACCAGAACCAGAACCAGCACCAGAACCAGCACCAAAAATGTAGGAACCAATGAGGATATATTGAGTTTACCAGGAAGGAAGCCTTACCTGCACTAGTGGAGACTCCCCAAAGGAACAAAAGGACAAAGCCTATATGTTTTAATTAGATGGGAGGTAAATTGGGTAAGGGCACCTCTTGACTGGACAAGCCTTGTTACTGGGGCTTTGAGAATAAGTTTGGGGGCGTGTAACCAGAAAGTTTCTTATTTGAGTTAGCTGATTCTCATAACCCTGCCCTAATAGATAGGATTATTCTGTATACTTGCTGTTTCAGCAGTAAGGAAGGTCTCAAGCAAGGGGCAGGGACTTCAGTACAAACAGGGTCAGAGAGAAAATAAAGGAACTACAGACAAAATGGAGTTGCTTCAGTTTTCTCAGCTACATACACCCATATAAGAAAAAGTGGTCATTTCTAGGCATTGCTAGTTCATCAAATACTTTCTACATGATTAATGACCCATCTTTGTTTGGTATTTTGGTTCATAACATCTTTGTTATTAAACAGGTTCCCTATCACTATTTTTCTAATTATGAATCTAGAATTATCCGGAAAACCTAAGACTCTAAGAGGGCTCAATTTTGGAAACTGGAGGTTTTACTCTAAACGCAGTCAACTTTCCACTAGCCATGAGTGGAGTATGTTTTGTGAATTATCCATGACCACTTTTCTTCCATTAACAAGTTGTTGGTCAGTAATAGGACCAAATCGTGGGTGAGAATCAGAATTTGGGCCATCCAAAGACAATGAAAAGAAACATGGAAGCATGTTTCTTGGAGGATCAATGAAAATTTGCAGAGAAGTACCTTTAAAGTGCCTTTAAAGAGATGGCTACAAAAGGGATGGTTTTACAAAAGTCCAAAACTTGTATGAACTGATACAAAGTAAAGTAAGCAGAACCAGAGAACAATGTAGACAGTAAAAACAATTTTGCAACAATAATCAACTGTGAAGGACTCAGCAACTCTGATAAATACAATGATACGTGATAATTCCAAAGGACTCACAATGAAAAATTCCATCCTCCTCTAGATAGAAAACTGATGGACTCTGATTACAGAGCGAAGCAAATTTTTTGTCTTGCTTTTTTTTTCTGGATTTTTTTTTGCAACAAAATTAATGTGGAAATAGGTTTTGCATGACTTCATATGTATAATAGGTATCGTATTTCTTTCCTTCTCAGTGGGTGAGGGAGGGGATAAAGGGAAGGAAATAATTTGGAACTAAAAGTAAAGAGAAAGAAAAAAATGAATAGTATGAACTGGACACGCCAGTCTTGCTATTGCTTAAAGTCATCATTATGAAAATCAATTATTACATTGTGCTGTATATCTCACCATCTCTAAGAGGTTAATAAGGATATATATATATCTATATATGTAGATATATATATATGTATATTTTTACTGATGCTAAATAACACCAAGCTATTGTGCTATTTTTGAGTTTTCATGACTACATTTTATGATCTTTCTCTTTACTATAAGTCAAGTCAAAAAGCACTTATTGAGCACCTACTACATGCCAGATATTGTGCTAAGTGCTAGGGATACAGAGAAATGAGAGGGGAAACTTTGCTACTTTCAAGGAGATAACTATGTACAAACAAGATATACACAAGTTAAGTTGGAGGTAATCTCAGAAAATACACTGAGAATAAAGATGACTAGGAAATGCCTCTTGCAGAAGGTGAGGCTTTGGCTGAGACTTGAAGGAAACCAGGAAATCAGGAGGCAGAGATGAGCAGAGAGCTTTAGGCATGAGGGACAGCCAGTGAAAATTCCTGGAGTATAATAATAGTAGCATTTATATAGCAGTTTAAGATTTATTAGCTCCTTGAAAGTGATCCAGCAAGCTCCTTGAGAGCAGAGATTGTTTTTTGCCTTTCTCTGTGTCTACAGGACTTAGTTCATTACCGGACATATAACTGGCATAGAGGGCAATAAATGCTGATTATCTGACTAGTTTTATAAATATTATCTCATTTGATCCTCAGAGGTAGGTACTTGTTATATCCCCATTTTACAGATCAGAAAACGGAGGCAGAAAGAGACAAGGCAACTTTCCCATGGTTCCATAGACTGCAGGTCTAGAGCTTTATCCATTGCACCATTTAGATGTGCTCCATTTGGCTATTTATGGATGCAAAGTTACATGGAAAACTGGAAAATTCAAGAAAAATGGATTCTGAAAATACAAGATGTTATTATAAATGTAATCAATGCTCACTAGCCATAAGTAAGATAAGTGTTCTGTGAATAGTCCATGACTGGATCCCAGGCTGCCTGTAATAGGATTAAATAATTTCTAGCTATTGTCAAAGCTTCTGCTTTTAGAAACTACCTTAGTCCTGTCTTCTAATCAGTTGTGGGCTGAGAAAAAAACAAGGTATGATATAAGGCCTGATAATCTCTGGTGTGAGAAAAGTTCATATTATTCTTACTGCATGGATTTTATGACATCTGTTTGCACTGCCTAAAGACCTGTTTGACTTACTTTCCTTGTGATCTCGGATGTGTCCTGAATTGAGTTTGCCAGATAAATGGTCCCTCAACAGAGAGGGTGTTACTGAGCATATAGCAATAATACAAATAAAACATGTGTGAAAGAAGAAAAACTAGAGGGACTATTTTGTTTTCTGTTATGTTATGTTTGCAATTATCTATGACTCTAATATCATGGGTATTGAAAGTTTAATGAGACACATTTTTTCCCCACACATATGCTTTCCTTCTATAAAAGAAACAGATTCTGCTTGAATGACAGAGGAAGCAAATATAAGAACACAGCAACATAGAGAAATACAACCTATGGTATTGTGGTACATGGACATAATTCAGAGATAAAACTACCCATACATGTCATTATGGGTAAAGGCATATGCCCATGACATCTCAACATAACGTGTCAAGGAATTTTTCTCATGAGACATTTATGTCTATAGTCTCTACTCACATACTAATTGTCATTGAAATTGGTTCAAAGTTACTAAAAATATACCTATTTTAAAATTTGTAGCAATCTGCTCAATTGCAATGAGGATTCGGGATACCATTTAAAATTCTTTAGAATTACACCACCTTTGGCCAAAATTAGTCAACTCATTAGCTAACCCTGAAAAACAGAGTGTCAAACATGAAATGCCAAGAAGGTAAGTGCAAACAGAGCAGTACTTCTACCCATATATAAGAAAGTGTGAGACTAGAACTTGGTTGAGTCACTAAATAGCTTTGCACCTAAGTTTCTTCACCTGTAAAATGACAATGATACTAATACTTGTACTACCTACCTTTCAGACTTATTTTGGGAAAATCTTTGTGCAAATTTTAAAGTGATATTAATTTCCATAACAATTATCAGTAGTCATTAATATTTAATAAAATTCAAAACTTCAGACCTTAGCAGAAACAGAGATCAGAAAACATCCCATTGAGTCTCTCAAACCTAAAAAAAAGGAAAATAACAAAATTAGCAAAGTCCAAATAATCTAGAGAATGATGCAGCAAAAAGATTTCCAAATTTGGAGTCAAAGGACATGAATTCCAGACAGCACTATTGCATACTATTTGTGTGACCTTGAGGCAGTCAATCCCTCTGGGATTCATATTCCTTATCTCTAAAATGAGGAGTTAAACTGAAATTTGAAGTACCTTTATACCTACAAGTCTATGATTCTATAATCAGATTTTATCTCTTCATTTAGTTGAATTTTTAAATCCTTGATATGTGCTTTCTTGTCATCTGCCACTGTTTGGGAACACCATTCTTCTAAGTGTTCAGGGTATACAAAACTGATTTTAATATTAGCTTAAGAAAAAAACACACTTAAAGTAAATATGTTTCATTAAAACAATACAAAGCATGCTATGGACAAGCCTTTCTTGTTATTGTTATCTGTTGCTCTGGATTATCCATGCTACTATAATATTTCTTTCCACTAATCTGCATAATCATTAAATGACCCTATACAAAAAGTAACTTTATACTTTACCCTTTTTCTTCTCCTTGGTCATTCCTTTGTAAAATAATCAAAGATGTTTTATCATTCTTATTAGCTAGTTTCTAATTTATGTTATAATGATCTTTTTCAGGAAATCTTTGGAAAAAGAGGATTTTGAAAAATTCATTATAGATCAAGCAAATGCAGCAGGTAATACAATTACATATAAACTGATATTAAGTGACTGGGAAGTACAATTATTGAATCATCAAATCTTAGAGTTAGAAAGTACCCAAAGGTCATCTAGTTCAAATATTGTAACCATCAAGAGCTAGTATATTCTAATAAAAATAAACTAAATCTGTATAAAGCAAGGGTTTCCACACTCTATGTATTGTTAGACCCAAAATATTTTTCCCATTTATGTTATTTATCTGCCAGGAACTAGAAAAAATAATGTCTGGTTAGCAGAGTCATTGAAAGACTTTGATCTGGGAAGCTCACCAGGGGCTACTTAATTTGCAAATAACCAATTAAAGTTTGAACAAAGAAAACTCTTGCCATTAGGAAGGGGGGGGAAAGGAAGTTTGCTATAGAAGCAAAATTGAGATTTAAAGTAAAATGAAAATAGTGCAAAACTATCTATCTCTATACAAATTGATAGGTACATGTAATACATATACATGTGCATGTGCATATATGTGCACATATATGTGCTCTGTGGTATGTGTGTATTCTCTACGTGTGTATATACATATATATGTGTGCATATGTACACATTCTATATAATCTGTGATTTCACTGGCATAGGGAAATTTTCATGAAGAAATTATCTTTGCCAATGGAGGTCAGCAAGCATTCTGAAATGTAGTCTTAGTTGCCTAGGACGCTAAAAGTCATCTTTGTATGTTAACAGTCATAAAATATGGTTGTCTATGGAGATGAGATATGAGATGATGATACAACTTTCTATAAGCTTTTATAAATATATAAAATTCAAGAATATAAATTATTGGTGGGTTAAATTGACGATTGCCAGGAGGATCAACCCAAATATTGGAGCAAGAAGTGAAGGCCATTAGAAAAGGAAGAAAAACCTTTTTGAACTGTAATATTTTTGACAGAACATGCCCTAGTTGAGGGATCTTCACCCCAAAGCCATTGTGCTTGGTGTAGCTTCCTAGGTCATTCTATGTTACTATTGATCCCAAAGCAATATTAACAAGTACCTGTGAGTTGGAGCAAAGACTGAGATTTTAGTTATGCAAATAGCTTAGCATATAAACTGAAAATGACATGCAGTTTTGAGTCTTTTACCACTGCTATAATAGAGGTGACTGAAAAAAAAATCCCATCCCATTCCAGGTGTTCCAGGGGATATTATCAAAGAATCTCTAGGTGAAGAACTCTTCAAAATATGCTATGAGGAAGATGAGCATATCCTAGGCGCGGTTGGAGGAACCCTCAAAGATTTCTTGAACAGTTTCAGCACCCTTCTGAAGCAGAGTAGCCATTGCCATGGAGCCGAAAAGAAGGGCCGACTTGAGGAGGTGTCCATACTCTGCTTGGAGAAAGACCCCAATGTCTTAAATGTTTACTATTTTTTCCCTAAGAAGACAACTACCCTCATTCTTCCAGGCATCATTAAGGCTGCTGCTCATGTACTATATGAAACCGAAGTGGATGTGACCCTGGTTCCTCCCTGCTTCCGTAATGACTGTAATGAGTTTGTAAATCAGCCCTACTTGTTGTACTCTGTTCAGGTGAAAAGCACAAAACCTTCCCTATCTCCTTGCAAACCTCAGTCTTCTTTGGTGATTCCAGCCTCTCTCTTCTGTAAGACCTTTCCTTTTCATTTCATGTTTGACAAAGACATGGCCATTCTACAGTTTGGCAATGGCATCCGGAGGCTGCTGAACAGAAGGGACTTTCAAGGAAAACCTAACTTTGAAGAATATTTTGAAATCCTCACCCCCAAAATCAACTACACATTTAGTGGGATCATGACCATGTTGAACATGCAATTTGTCGTAAGAGTGAGAAGAGGGGACAACTCTATCAAGAAATCTTCAGGGGTAAGGATGCATACATATGAAGGAAGGAAGTAGGGAAAGAAGGAAGGAAAAGGGAAGGAAGGAAAGAAGGAAGGAAGGAAGGGAAGAAAGAAGGAGGGGAAAGGAAAGAAGGAAGGAAGGGAGGGAGGGAAGAAAGGGACGGAGGGAGGAAGAGAGGAAGGAGGGAAGAAAGAGAGGAAGAAAGGAAGGAAATGCATTCATATTTGCTCTTTGCCAAACACTGAGATAAATGCTGGGAATTCATACATGAAAATGAGATAATCCTTGCCCCAGAGGAGCTTACATTTTAATATGATGAAATAACATATATTAGGAAGTGGTAAACAAAGAAGAATGTTGAAGTCTGAAAAGTCTCAGAAATAACAGATTTTTCAACAGGGCAGTCAGTTTACCTGCCCTTTCAAAAAGCAATGCTAGCATTGATTTGATTGTTACACTCAGAGAAAGAGGTATAAAGGGGGTATATGTGGGGAGGGGCATGTTATATGATGTCAGGGATGATGGACTATGTAGATGGCTGACTGGAGTATGAAGTATGGCCTATGGCCAGCTAAATATAAGAAGAAGAAAGAAGCATCTAACTGACAACAATATGCCAGGGAAGGTAGTAAATGCTCTACAAATCTTATGTTATTTGATACTAACAGAAATTCTGGGAAGTAGATGTTATTGTTACAGTTGAGGAAACTAAGGCAGACAGAGGTTCAGTGATTTGTCCAGGCTCACATAACTATTAGTTATCTGAGGCTCAATTTGAACTCAGGTATTCTTGACTCCAGGCCCCATATTCTATTCACTGCACAACCAATATGCCTGCAATGGGCTATGTGAGTTTGTGCTTACTCACTCAACAGTGAGAACAAACAGGGCAAGAGTTCTAATGTTGAGTGATTTAAGTCCCTCAGGGCACGATCTCTGTCTGTCCAGTGGTCCAAAGGGTACATCAACAAGGGGACCAGATTGCAGCATCAGTGGGTGGCAAGGCTGGGATGGGTAAATGGATGGGATGTGAAGCCTGGCCTGGTCTGGGGCTATAAAGTATGCATAATGATATTATCTGGGTTGATCGTTTAAAATATGAAAAGGAAATATGAACAAGGAAATCTAAAGCATGCACCAGTTTAGTCATTTTGGCAAAACCTGTGGGGGAATAATTTGATTTGATTCAACTCATCATTATTTATTAAGTACCTACCATGTTCCAGAAACTGGTATAGGTGCTGGAAATGCAAAGACCAAAACAAATGAGTCTCTGTCCCCAAGGAGTTTATGTCCTCTTGCTAGCTGTGAAAAACGTTTTTAAGAATTGGGTTTTTTTAATCTCTACAACTTGTCCAAAATCCCAGTTGAAGGCTTCTGTTAGAAAATGGGTAGAATGCCTACTTAAGTATTTTACAAATTTTATAGGTATTGACAAAAAGATGAATTTGAAACATTAAGAAGTTAGTATTAAGGAAAAAATGATTTTACAAAAGACAGAAAAATGGATTTTCCCATGTACATTCATTTGTACAACAGTCCCTTATTAATAATAATTGACATTTATGTAAGACTTTAAAGTTCATTGCAATGGATAGAGCACCAGCCCTGGATTCAGGAGGACCTGAGTTCAAATCTGGCCTCAGACATGTAACACTTACTAGCTGTGTGACCCTGGGCAAGTCACTTAACCCCATTGTCTAGCCAAAAAAAAAAAAGACTTTAAAGTTCAGGAAATGTTTTACTTGTATTATCCCTTTTAAGCCACCCAACAACCTTGTAAGATAGGCTTTTATTATTTGTATCTTATCAATAAGGAAGCTGAGTCTTAGAGAAATGAAATGTCTTATCTGTGGTCAGATGGCTAGTCAGGATCAGTGGTGAAATTTGAACCAGAGTTTGTTGACACCATATCCAACACTAGATCCATTATGGCGAACCTGCCCCTGGCATCTGCCTCTAGAGCACTGAATCAGGTGCTAGAGAAGAAGAAAACAAAGCCCCAAAAAATGTAGTCTTTGCCCTCATTAACAATGACAGGCAACACATTGGCTTTGAAAATGTCACTATTACACAATGTGAAAATCAGCAAAGATGATCGGTGTCCTCACGACAGAGAACTTTGGGTGACTTTGTGTCCTGAGGAAGGCATGCTTGTGAAACCAAGCTTGCTTGTATTGCTGCAGGCCTGCATTCAGCTGATAATAGATGTCTGTGCCGTATCACACAAAACTATGTAATGGTTTCTTGCAGAATCACGGCTAAGCTCTTTTCTCAATAACCTTGTAAAAGACTTTTTTTAGAAGGGAGAAGAATTTAGTGCTGCTCTGTGTTGTTAAAATGACTGAACCTCCCTGGTGGTTTTTTGTTTTGCTTTTTGGTGAGGCAATAGGGACTAAGTGATTTACCCAGGGTCACACAGCTAGAAAGTATCAAGTGTCTGAGCCCGCATTTGAACTCAGGTCCTTCTGACTCCAAGGCCAGAGCTCTATCCACTGTACCATTTAGCTGCCCTGCCATGGTGGTTCTTAATGCTGTCTAATCCCATTAGTCTATTAATCCATAGACAATGCTTCCTGTCTCGCTTGAGTTCTATAGATCAGTTCTGTACTTCTGTCCTCACATTAGATGTATCTTAGATCTAAATCCAGAAGGACCCTCAAAGGTCCAAACCCCATCTTCCTAGAGATGAGCGACAAAGCCAAAGCCAAGACAGTTTTGCACCCTAGTGAAAGTTAAAATCTCATCCCCCACCCAATATTTGTCAATGTCCACCAGCTTATCTTTGAGCCTTCATTGAAACACATGCAACTAATCACAAAATGAATAGCTATAGGCCATGAAGAACAGGTTTTTCTGGAGTTAAAAATATCTGCCTACAAAATGTCATTTAAAAAAAAGATATCTGTATCACTTCATCACTGATTCACCCTTCAGTTGTTGTCTTAATCTGGTGATACTCCCCAAATGTCATCTACGACGTGGTTGCCTGTTCACTGCCGATTACTCTCAACAGTGAGGCAGCGTGGTAAGTGTAATAGTGCCACATCTATAGCCAGGGATGTCATTTCTAGTCATGTCTCTGCCATTTGCTACCTTTGTGACCTTGGGAAAGTCATATTAAGTCTTTAGGTATTAGTTTCCTCATTTAAAAAAAAATTCAGCATTTTTGGGGTTTTTTTTTTAGTATTTATTGTTAACTTATAAATTGCTGCCTGCTTATTTTCTCTTCCCTGAAAAGAGTTTTTTGAGGATGGATATGGGAAGAGCACAACAAGTTGTCCTGTATTTGGTCATTACTTCTCCTAAATAATGTGTAATATAGTATAGTATATATGTATAATGTGTAATATAGTATAGTAGTATAAATAGTTGTGTAATAACAGCATTTTAAAAATACTAAATAACATTGATTTTTTTAAACACGGAAACTGATGCCAAAAGCCTCCATGTGACTTTCCTAAGGTCACAAAGGTAGAAAATGTCAGAGCTAAGATAAGATTTGATGTTCTCTGACTACAGATGTAGTACCCATTAACAGATACCACACTGAGTAAAGATTGATTGCAGTTTAGTAGATGGGTGTTCTGATGGCGTTAGAAACTAAGCTGAAACAACTCCATTTGGTTATCTGAGAGGAGCAGGGTAACACAGCAGATAGAGTACTAGAACTGGAGTCAAGAAAATCTGGGTGTGAATCCAACTGGTGACACTAGTGGTGTGACCATGAACATGGAACTTCTCTGAGATTCTGGAAACTCTGTAAGACTTTGAGTTATAAAGGGGTTGAGGTCTACATTACTGGAGGCTATTTTATAAGTATATTTAATTCACTTTATTCAAAACCTAAACCAGGGCACCTTGACTTTTATTGTGTTATGACCTCCTATGGCTGTTCGGTGACATCTAGACCTCTTCTCAGAACAATGTTTTTAAATAAAGTAAAACACATAGGATTACAAAAGAAACCAATTAAACTGAATACTGTGACTTAATTTTTAAAAAGTCATGGGCTCCAGGTTTAAAAACTTGTGACTTAAATAAATGGTTAGAAATGGACTCATTTCCCAAATGCTAAAGGTGAGTTCACTAATATTTAACAAAAATCCTAAAAGCAGTGAACATAAACATTGTAATATTGCTTTTTTTAAAAAAATTAAGTACCTTATAGTGTATTACATGTGCTTAGCACAGATAATCTAGAAACAGATGTTATTAAGATTTCCAGACAAATCTCATATGCACCTTTCCCTCTTTTCCATATTTTTCATTTTGATATTTATTTTCCCCAATTAAATGTAAAAAATAATTTTAACATTTTTTTAATTTTTGAGCTCCAAATTTCCTCCCTACCTCTCCTCCTCACCCCCTCCCCCATTGAGAAGATAGGGAATTTTATATAGGTTATGCAAAACATATTTCCATCTCATATGCATTATTAAAAAGCAACAACAACAAAAAATAAAAGGGAAATGTGACCAAAATGAAGGGGAAAATATCATACAACCTGAAGAGAAAATGTAGGAATAGAATTATTGTTGATATAGATACCATTAGCAGAAGTATCTTAAATCCAAAACTCTTGGGTTGCTTGCCCATTTAAAAGCTTAATGTGGCATTCACGTCCTGTGTTTAACAATTTTTTGTGATTCATTCAATAATCTTTTGTAAAATGTTTACCGTATGTTGGGTCTATTAGGCACCGGGGAAGATAGAAAAGTTTCTTCCTTCAAGGAGCTTACTCTCAAATGATGCCTATACGCATTCTTATTTACACAGTAACAGAATCTCAGAGTTGGAAGAGACCTCACATGCTATCTAGTCCAACTCATAGCAAAAAAAAAAAAATCCCTTCTACACATATCTGATGAGTGGCCATCCAGCCCCTGCTAGAAGACCTCCAGTAAGGGGCACCCACCACCTCCCAAAGTAGTCTATGCTACTTTGCAATAGCTCGTTTGGTAAGAATTGTTTTTAACCTCAAGTCCAAATTTGCCTCTTTGAAGCTCATTATTGCTCTTAATTTCACTGTGGGGGCCCAAACAGAACAAGTCTAATACCTTTCTACAAATACTTGAAGAGAGCTATTATGTCACCCTTGAGTCTTTGTTTCATCAGGCTAAATTAATTTTAAGATTAATTTGAAAGTAAAATATAAACCCCCTTATTCCCTTCGACTACAGGAAAAGAGACAAACAGCTTTGTAAGTAAACATAACAGAAATAATCATTCCTTGTTGTCATAGCCTTGGGTTCTCTGATTATTATTCAAGAAAAGCAGACAAAACAGATAACTCTGACTGAATTGTTGCCTTGCTGTGACTCTCTCTTTCTGCACAGTAGCATGCTAATCACTGATCAGGTTTGGTCTTCTCAACATTTTTTAAATAAATGTATTCAGTTCAAATTTTGAAATTCTCACTTGCAGCTTTTTGGCCTCATGACACCCTACAGCATGAACGTGATTGGAATGGAGCCATGGTACTTGTCAGTTGAATGAAGCACCTACAAGCAAAAGAATAAAAAACAGAGTCAATATTTCCTTTTATATCAGCTCTTTAGTGTTAACTTGGGAAGGCATTGGTATAGATCCATAGGGTTGAAAAGAACTATTCCCTGAGCTCATATAGAAGGGACTTTGCAACAAAGAACCAGGCATTCTTTCTATTATAGCCTCTGTAAAGTGATTCAAAATCCTGAGTCTTTCAAGATTTATTAGGATACTAGGTGCTTAGATAATAGGGCCAAATACCTGTTCATATTAGGCTCTCAAAAGATATTTGTCAAACTGAATTGAACTGAATTGAATTGGGATTACTGGGCAGTTAAAACTTAGCTTTGCTTCTCTTACAATCCCTCCTGCTCCTCCCCTTGTCTTCAACACAAGGTGCTCTTTGTGCTTTCAGGGGAATATGCACTTGGTGTTCATTAGAATATATGTGTCCTTTCATATTGTGCCCATAGTAAAGACTCCCAAAGGCCCTTAAGATGAGGCTTGGCAAGAACTGAAAGTTTTTAGCTTAGGCAAGGCTAACTATAAAGAATTAACTTTTACACTGGGAAAAAGCTTCTAATGTCTGTAATGAAGCCAGCATGTCACAGTGGTCATGATAACAGTGAAAGGATTCTGTCTCCATTTCTTTCTGTTTTCTGAGAAGGGTTCAGAATAGATTAAACACCAGGAAAAGCAAGGGAGCTTCAGTGGGATTAGTCAGTTATTAAAGAAGAAAAGATTAGATTTTGTTGCCTGCAGAAGCTGATTCTAGGGGTGGGTTTATTAAAGAGTGAATCATATTTCTGTGATCCAGAGACACAAAATAGATGAAAAAAAAATCTTACTCATAGGTATTTTCATTTATTATGTCTAAACAGAAATTGATGAAAACTGGTTCCTCAATGAGAGGGGAGAGCAGAGGAAGGAAGGAGAAAGCTGAAACTTCAGGGCACTATACCAAACTTATTTTCTTTCTGGGCTGGGGACTGGACCTATAATGTCATTAGTTTAGGGCATGCTTTCTACCCATTCATGTCAGAACATCATTGTAACTTTCAGTCTTAGAGTGCTACCCAGGGCATTGAGACATTGAGTATTGCTCAGGGTGATAGACACTTGAATCCAGATATTTCTCATTTTAATATTAGTTTTCTATTGTCTATACCACCCTGCCTCCATTTTTGTAGAGAGAATAATACTATAATATGAGAGGCAGCCTGGACAGAGGATCCTCAGGACCAGGAGGACCTGAGTTGAGGTACCACCTCTCACACAGACTGTGTGACCCTATACAGATCACTTAACCTCTCTGCACCTTGGTCAAATCAAAGATTAGAAGCTCTTGAATAGCTGCTGATCAGTATTGATAGAGAAAGCTTGAGGGCTTTTTTTTCCTTTAATCACTTGAACATTCTTTATAACAACGGTCTCCAAGATCAGGGATAGATTCTTGAGGGTAAGCACACAGATTGATTCCAAGGGGTGTGTGGTTAGCCAATCAGAAGGTGGAAAGATGGATTCCCCAGATATCTAATCATGGCCTTGTTTCCAACACATCTACTTTTTAACCAATATGGCACCATACTGTCCTACTTCCCTCCCCCACAAAACAATATATAAGATCTCAACTTTCTTCTTCCAAGCTAGATGTTGGACTATAAGGATGCAAACACCAGCAGCCACAGCTGTGTCATTGAAGCACCCACCACCACCACCACCACCACCACCAATCTCCAACCCAACATACCCTCTAAGAAAATTCTTTTTTTCTCCTGATGAGATCACAGAAATTTGAAGACTATTCAATCCACTACTCTATACCAATCAAATAAGGCAGATAGGTGGCTGCAGCATGAGGCCTGGAGTTGAGAAGAACTGAGTTCAAATATAGCCTCAGACTTACTAGCAATATGACCCTGGGCAAGTCACTTAACCTCTGTTTGCTTCAGTTTTTTCATCTGTCAAATAGATAGATGTCCTCTGTTGTTGTGTGGATCAAATAAGATAATAATTGTAATATGTTTAGCATAGTGCCTGGCACACAGTACGTGCTATAAAAATGTAAGTTATTGTTATTATAAATCACAAATCCAGTAAAAAAAATGTTGGTTTCAGAGTGATAAATTGAAGGAGAAATAATCATCTGAGGGATGGGGGGAAGTAGAACTCACATTCATAAAGACCACAGATCTTAGAAGGGTTGAAAGATAGAAGACAATGTCATTTAATATTGTTGCAGTCTTGTTCCAAGTATCAACAAAACGTGAGCTCATGCCAAGAAAGCATAATGCTGATACTTAGGGAAGAGGTCCTCAATCAGAATTTATTGGAATTTGCCCCAACTTCAATGGTGAATCCTAAGAGGTTCTAGTGCTACTTTCTGATTATCACCCTCATTTTTTTCTTCAAATAGCTTCATCCATTTCAGAGGCCACAGTGACCTGATGGTAGAGCTAAGTTTATTGCTATTCATTTTCATACAGAAAAAGAAAAGAAAACCCAATTAAAGAACAAAAGAATTATCATAATATCTTTAGTTATTGTTTCTTCTCTAGTTTGAAAATCAATTTAGAAGGAAACTGAACTCTGAATAATTGTAATAGCCAGTTTTGGTCATGGACAACAAATAATGAAACGTATATGCCACTTTAGGCAAATAACTTCACTTCCCTGGGCCTTGGTTTCTTCATCTGTAAAAAAAAAAAAGGGAGAGAGAGAGGTTGAGTTGGACTAAATGGTCTTTGAGGTCTCATCTTACTTTAGATCTATGATTCTCTCAGCAGAGAAATGGTATTTTGATGGTAAAGTGGGGGAGAGGAGGGAAGAATATTGCAGCTGGTCATTTTATGAATTGTTTTTGTTGAACTGCTTTTTTTCTTTATTTTAAGAAACAGTTCAGTTCTGACATGGTGGTAATATGTATGGTTGTGGGGAGGCACAGTGCCAGTAACGCCTGTGATATGAAATGAACAGAACACTGGCTTTTTTATGTAAAAGGAGGAAAAGAGAAAATGAAGGTTGATAGGACCCTCTCCTTTGCTTCCCAGGTCATGGATCTGAAAGGTCAAATGATCTACATCATTGAATCTAGTGCCATCTTGTTCTTGGGGTCACCCTGTGTGGATCGGTTAGAGGATTTTACAGGCCGTGGGCTCTACCTCTCAGATATTCCAATCCATAATGCCCTGAGGGATGTGGTCCTGATAGGTGAACAAGCTAGAGCCCAAGATGGGCTGAAGAAGAGATTAGGAAAACTCAAAGCCACCTTGGAGCAAGCACACCAAGCCCTTGAGGAGGAGAAGAAGAAGACAGTCGATCTCTTGTGTTCCATCTTTCCAGGCGAGGTTGCTCAGCAGCTGTGGCAGGGACAGGCTGTACAAGCCAAGAAATTCACTCATGTCACCATGCTTTTCTCTGACATTGTGGGATTCACAGCCATCTGTTCCCAGTGCTCGCCAATGCAGGTCATTACCATGCTCAATGAACTCTACACTCGCTTTGACTACCAGTGTGGGGAGCTGGATGTCTATAAGGTAGGAGCGGGGACTTTGGAAGGAAATTCTAGGGGCAGCAGGTGTTTCTTTGGGACAGGGAAGTACCTTTAAAAAAAACAGGTTTTGCTATTCACCTGAATTAGATTCATTTGTCTTAATCATGAAATGAAAATCGCCTAGGGAGCTGTGCAATGAACAAACTGGAAGCAGGCACCCCCAAGTGATCAGTATGAATGTTCACTGTGCCAGAAATAGTACTGCCTTACAAAAAGAAAAGAAAAAAGAGAAATCAGAGAAGGAAGACATTGTTCTGTTTAAAGGACTGCCATACTTCTGTACCAGAATGTAAATAAAGGCATGGCAGCCTAAGAGGAAGAGGGCAGTTGGGGTGGGGTAAAGGTGGGTTTGGCTGGAGATGACTGAATAAAACCCTGATTCCCAGTAAGCATCACTTTAGTAGATGCAGATACGATAGTTATCATCTTTTGTCTTACTTTTAATGGGTTGGTCATTCCCTTCTGTGAACCCAACAGAGCAAGGTTTGGGCTTCAGAAACAGGACTTCTTGTTTCCAATAATAAGAAACTGATACACACACACACACACACACACACACACACACACACGTATGTATGTGTGTATGCATGTATGTATATGTGTATATATATATGTATGTATGTGTAAGTATATATATGGCCATTTTTTTTAAGTTGTAACAATGTATAGTGCTTTAGTATGTGACTTTCATTTCAGATTTTCATCTGAGACTTATGTGTCTAAACCTCCATACACTCTGCTAAATGTTTGCAACTCACTGAGACACTCAGGAAGATGAAGTAGTCTGAGATTTCTATATGGTCTGAAAAGAAATATATAGAATTAAATAACTTATTCTTGTGGATAATGGAATAGAGGCAGCAGGTATGGTGGATAGAATGCTAGTCCCGGAGTCAGAAAGATTTGGACTTAAATCCTACCTCAGACACTTACTAGCTATATGGCCTTGAACAAGACCACTAACTTCTTTGGGCCTCAGTTTCTTCATTTGTAAAGTGAAGGGGATGGATTTGATGGCCTCTCAAGGTGATTCAGTGGATAGAGTGCTAGGCCTGGAGTCTGGAAGACTCCCCTGTGAGTTCAAAGCTGGCCTCAGATATTTACTAGCTCTGTTATCCTGGGCAAGTCACTTAACCCTGTTTGCCTCAATTCCTTAATCTGTAAAATGAGGTGAAGAAGGAAATGGAAAACCAATCCAGTATCTTTGCCAAGAATACCCCAGATGGGGTCATGAAGAGTCAGACATGACTAACAACTACAAAATAACGATGGATCCCTTCTAGCCCCGGATCTGTAGTGTCATAATCCTTTAAGGGAAGACATATTATGGTGATATGTTTTGCATAATTGAACATGTATAACCCATATCAAATTGCTTACTGTCTCAGGGAGGGGGAGGTGAGGGAAGGAGAGAGAAAATTTGGAACTCACTTTTTTTTAATGAAAGTTAAAAATTGTCTTTACGGGTAACCGGGGAAAATGAAATGTCATTCAAGTGAAGACATAAATATCTCAAGGCTATTCATTAGTTTTCAGTGCAGTTGACTGATTCACACTTTAGTTCTAAAGCGGAAATAAAAGAAAACAAAGTCCCAGGTAATGTGTTTAGGTTTAAGTATGCAAGAAAAAAAAATCTAGTGCCCTGTCCTTTTCCTTGAGCTTTAAATACAAATTGGTACCAATGGAAAAACCAGACTCTGGAGTCCATGACCTAGGTCCAGACTCGCCTGTGACACAAGCAGTATGACCTTGGGCTAGTCACTATAAAAAATAAAATAAGGGAAGGTTAGGGTAAATGGGCTTTGAGATCTCTTCCAGCTCTACAGTCAGAAATCCTATGATCCTGGAGTCCTATATACAGTACATATGTTTGAATTGCTGAGAGACTGTGGCATTCATTAGTGGAGTTCTATCAGCCTTGTAATCAGAAAAACTGAACCTGAGTTCTAACCCCTAGTTTCTGTGTGACCCTGGATAAGTCACTTACCTTATCTCAGTGCCCCTAGCAACTCTATAATGTTTTAAATCACAGTCCAGGTACTCATTTGTATCAACTGAAGGAATTCCCATTCCTGTGAAATCACAGCTGCAATTTGAATCACTATCCATTGTTAAACTATAGGTGGTGTTTTTCAGATGTTGGTATTAAAATTAATCAATCAGTAAATAGTTCCAGTTTGTACATTCCTCTACCTCTCCTCAAAAAGCTCTCCTCCATCATGAATTTCCTTATTGCCAGTGCCCTTTTGCTCTCCTCATCCTTCTTGACTTCTTAATGGCATTGTAGACTGGAGGCTCCTCCATTTTTCTTACTTCTTTATTTTCCTTTTGCTTCTAGTTCTAGTACTAGCTCTACTCTGCTCCTCTTCTTTCTGCCTTGTAAGATTATGCACAGAACACTGTGCTATGTTCTGATGGGGATACACAATTAAGACAAAACAACATCCCCATCCTTGTGGAGTTCAGAGTCAAATAGAGACGACCACAGATGTGTATCTAGTCTATACATATCTGTTGCTTCTCCACCCAGTCTTACCAACATCTTAGATTCATGTAACACCCTGAGTGTGCAACACTTGAAAATAGCTTCAGATAGGGGCAGCTAGGTGGCAAAGTGGATAGAGTGGAGTCAAGAGGACCTGAGTTCTAATCCAGCCTCAGACTTGACACTAGTTGTGTGACCCTGGGCAAGTCACTTAATCCCATTGCCTAATAAAAAACCAAACCAAAACAAATATGATAGGGGGAGCTAGGTGGCACAGTGGATAGAGCACTGAAGTCAGGAGGACCTGAGTTCAAATCTGGCCTCAGATCAAACACTTGACACTTATTATCTGTGTGATCCTGGACAAGTCACTTAACCTCAGTTGCCTTAAAAAAATAGCTTCAGATTGCTTCATTTAGTTTATCAAAACTCATTTTACAGAAGGAGAAATGAAGCATAAAAAATATTGAGTGACTTGCCATTGGTCTCCCTGTGCACAGTTAACAGCAAGACTTAGAGGAGAGTTCAGATTCCTCAAGTCCATTTTACTCTATATTGCTCCTCTTTTATAAGAATAGTCTTGCTCTAGCATAATAAGCTTACCTTGTACTGGTCATGATTTCTGTCCTAAAAGAATTATTTTACCTTTGTTGGTTCATAATCCCTCTCTTTCTACATATTAGCTCTGTGACTTAGGTGAACTCAAGTCATTGGAGAAGAATTCATTGTACCATATTTTCTGCATCTGAAAATGAACTCAGATTTCATGGTTTCTAAGGTCCTTTGTAAAGCAAAAATCACATCAAAGATCTTATACATCTATAATCATATAACATCATTTTCAGTAGTATTTCATATGGTTTGGGTCATCATAGGACATGGGCCATTGTATTCCTCCTATCTGATTTTAAGTGTGTGTTGCCTTCTGCTACATTTGCCTTAACGTTTGTTTATTCTGAGAAACCAATTTGTATACTTAGGTGGAGACAATCGGAGATGCATACTGTGTAGCCGGAGGCTTACACAAAGAAAGTGAGACACATGCTGTTCAAATTGCCCTCATGGCCTTGAAGATGATGGAGCTGTCAGATGAAGTGATGTCTCCACATGGAGAACCCATCAAGGTCAGGTGGATGTGTCTGATGTCTGTGGGATATATTTGATTCCTGTCGGGGACTGAGGGGAAAATGCTCATTAAGGGATATCTGAGGCAGACATAAAAAGAATTCATTGGGCAAGCTGAATCCAAGAGTTAGGTTTGGCTGGAGATGATTGAATAAAACCTTGATTCTCAGTAAGCAACAGATTAGTAGATGCAGATATGATAGTTATAATTTTTTGTGCTACTTTTAATAGGTAGTCATTCCCTTCTGTGAACCCAACAGAGCAAGATTTGGCTTCAGAAATAGGACTTCCTGTTTGCAATAATAAAAAATTCCCTATACTTTGCCAATGCCATATAAACCAAAAAAGATATATGGTTGTTAAAAAAAAATAGTTGTAACAATGTACAGCGATTTAGCCTGTGACTTCCATTCGTTCTAATAAGACTCATGTGTCTAAACCTCCATATACTCTGCTAAATATTTACTACTCACTGAGTAATTTTAGCAATGATAAGAATATTTTAGAGTCATTTTAACAACTGATTACCAAACTAAAACCATTTTTGAGTGGCAAAGATTACATAAAGAACTCAGAAGGAATAGTTGGATTGTACCACATGAAAGCTACTAAATTAGACAGAAGTAGAAACTGAAGAATTTATAAGTTGCTTGTGGCTGGCAGCAACCAAGAATCAAAAATAAATAAATATAGGTTGTGGACCAAACAAAATTGAGTTCAGGGAGAAAGGAAGACCGTAGGAAGACTGTAGGAAAAATATTCCTTTTTCCTGAGGCCCTGTGTATTTTTTTTTCCTCCTAAACTTCCACAATACTTACTTATTCTCATTTGCTTACCCACAAACATAGAGAGGAAGTCTTGAATAAGAATAGATAGAAGAGATAGATAGAAGAATGGTAGGTAGAGGTTGAACCAGGGAACACAGTTGTGGAACTAGCTTTTCCCAGTCCCACATGAATCATGAGATTAGCCTCTCCAAGGAGATTCCCTAAACAGAAGCTGGATTTCCCCTGCTTTTCTTAGGTGAATTACTGCTGCTGCTGCTACCATGCTATATGTAGACTTCTTTTCCAAGTACTGTGTGTCCCTCTGAAGCTCAGTTAGATCCTCCTCTTTCCTTCAACATTGTTCCTCTCCATAGGTCTCCAGGGCAGGACATTGTTCTCTTATCCTGCTCAAGTGTATAACTGTGTGGTTTCTTTCTTTCTTTGTTTTTGCTAAAATGTGAATGAACTCTGAGTATAATCTATATAGATTTGAGCTAAGTTACATGTATATAAGCCTGTGTTTCTCACAGAACTTGGCACAGTTTTAAAGCATTAAGCAATCTTTTCTAGGTACTGCCAGTTTTTACCATCCAATTTTTCTCATTGACCCTATTTGAACCCTCAGTCCCAGCCTGAATAATCTCTCAGCACTTATGGTGAATTAAAGTCATTTTTTTTCCCTCTCTTGGTTCTTACTTTGCCTCAGGTCAAAATGACTCTCTGTATAGCCACCTAAACCATTGACTCAATTGATGTCCCTTGGGTTCTGTCAACAGATGATTCCCAGTTTGTTTCATTGGATTTGAGTCTCCCATCTCAATGAACACTTACTGAAGGTCTCCTCAGTTCACTCTCCCAGGTTATTCCAGCTCAAATGAAATGACAGTTGTAAAGCACCTAGCACAGTGCCTGGAACATAGTGGTGCTTAATAAATGCTTATGCTCTTTTCCTGGATTTCTCTTCTATTCATGTCCCTTCTCTGTAAAGCTGAAGGATCTGGACCAGATGATTTTGGAGGTCACTTCCAGCTCTGAATGCTGGGATCTTGAGGCTGTGGTCTCTTTGTCTCAGGCCATTTCTGTTGAGATTAGGCTTTTTTTCCCCTCTTCACATACTTGACTATGAAGACAGAAAAGCTGGTTTTCAGCTTCCACTTCCAAGATCTTTTCTTAAGGCTGAGAGGATGGATATGTTTAGGAAATGATGATTAGGAAAATCTTCAAATTGTATTTGTGTGACTGATCTATCCAACATTATTACTTTGCTTTTTAAACTTTCAGTTATGACTTGGAAGAGGGTCATGATAAGTTGACAGATCCTTGGAGTCTTGCATATGTATCTGTTATGCATATTTCAAATGGCATACCATTCAAAAGAAAAAAACCCTTTTAAGATAGACACTGCTATATGCTGTATTTTGGGATTTTTTTTCTACTTATAACTATAAATGAGTCATAGATGTAGAAAAGTACTTAGAGATCATCTTAGTCAAGGATTTTTAACCTTTTTTGTGTTGCAGATCCATTTGGCAGTCTGGTGATGACTATGCAATCTCTCTTAGATTAAAGTTTTTTAATGCATTAAAGAAAACACAGAGTTACAAAGGAAAGTAATCATATTGAAATATAATTATTAAAATATTAGCAAAACAAATTTTGATATGTTCAAATATGCAGTGGAGGACTAATAATATTGTTGATATGATGGCCATGAACATTTCCAGATATCTGCAATAACAGCAATTTGATACAAAAGTATCCATAATTTCTATTGATGAAAAAGTCACAGGTACTGCCAATACATGGATGGTTTGTTACCTACATTGATAAAGGAAATGCTAAGTTTTAGTTAGAGCTTAGTGAAAGAAAGGATGCAGTTTTTTTCCTATTCAAGTTCATAGACCTCCTGAAATCTATCCATGGGCCCTTTGAAGGGTCTGTGTAACCCAGGTTAAGAATCCCTGATCTAGTCTACCTTCTCCTCTTACAAGTAATAAAGAGGAGGCATAAAGGATTTAAGTGACTTGCCTAAGGTCAAATAGTGTGGCAAAGCTAAAGCTAGAACCTGACTTTTAGTCTAAGGACCTTTCTCCTATAATAGGATAAATGATTGGTTTACTGTGATGAACTAGATTACTTGATTTACTTGTAATCTTCCAGTATCCTTGTATAATCATTAGCAGAATTAAATAGCAGTTATTTCCTGGGCTGTAATTTTCATCTGAATTACTGAAAACTTGGACTTTGTTTAAAGTATATTCTGACGATAAAACAGTACAAAAATGTCTGCTAAATATGGACAATGATAAGGAGCAGGAAGTTTGTATCACAGTGAGTTTAATGGAACTTTAAATTGCCTGTTTAAACCTAAACAAGCTGTTAAAACCATGCCCTGGGTCCATTAGGTGACACAATGGATAGAGTACTAGGCCTGGAGTCAGGAAGACTCATCTTCATGAGTTCAAATCTGGCTTCAGACACTGTGTAATCCTGGGCAAGTAACTTAAGAGAAGAAAGAAAGGAAAAAAGGGAAGGAGGAGACAGAAGGGAAAGAGAAAGGAAGGAAGGAAAAATCATTTATTAATAGCTTTCTATGTGCTAGGCATTGTGCTAAACATAGGGATAGAAATATTTTTGAAAGAGAAATAGTCCCTATCTTCAAGAAAATTATATTATAATAGGGAAAGGCAACATATATAGGGTAGTGGTAACCAGGGAAGGGTGTTTTATTTTGGCAAACGTGGAGAATAGGACAGGTGGGAAAGAAAAAGCAAGCTGCTTGTTTCAGGCAGATGGTAAAATGGCTTGGGTGGGTCAATGGCTGGACAAGAAGTGAAGCAGAACCAAGGACTTGTGTTTAGGACCAGCTAGTTGATAACTGAAGCCTAAGTGGGCTAGTTTGCTCCAAAGATGAAAGGATTAATTTTCTGAGAAAGTGGGATTTAGATTCTGAAAGTGCTAGTGATTAGATCCTTCAGAATAGAGAGTGCTGGTCCATTTGGAGAGGAGCATGTTGGCAAATGCAGGTGGATAATATGACAGCTTAGCTAGGTGGCTGGATAGGATACAAAATATGGGAGGGTGAAAAAACCAGGGCCATAATTCTAGTATACTTGGAGGTTTAAAAATCACTTTCCCAACAACCAAGCAAATTGTGATGTCCAAATATTATTATCCCTGTTTCACAGGGGAGGACACTAAAGCCTGGAAACTTGCTAATGGTCATATAGCTAATAAATATTAGCATCTCCTGATTCCAAGTGAAGTTGTCTTTCTAGGGCACCACACTTTTAATTTTGTGTAAAAGTCAGTGGGGAGCTAGATGGAAAGTAATAATCATAGCTAACATTTATATACCACTTTAAGGTTTGCAAAGCACTTTACAGATTGTGATCCTCCCTACAACCGTATGAAGTAGGTGTTACTATTATCCACTTTTTAAAAATCAAGAAAATGAGAAACAGTGTTTAAGCAACACAACTGATTAAGAAAAGGGTTATGATTAGAGTAGGTGATAAGAAATATGTAGGTGGTGGTGGCACATAAGTATCCAGTCAGAAACACTAGAATGATGCAAAATATTTTTCAGCGACAGGAGTGAGATCTTTTTAATTCATTTAATTCAACAAACATGTACTAAAAGGGCCAACTATGTGTTAGACACATGATAGGTGCTGGTGACACAAAATTACCCCTCAAATGCCTTCCATTCTACTGGAATGATAAACATATACACATATAGGCAAAAATAAATCATGCATAAAATTACACAGATAATTTAACTACAGAGATTATCCTAACATCTTTCTGTGCCAGGATAGAGCATCAAAAAAAAGGCCTCTCATAGGAGCTAGGACCTAAGCTATGCTTTAAAGGAATTCATCTTGCCATTTTCTTTCAGATGCGTATTGGCTTGCATTCTGGATCTGTCTTTGCTGGAGTAGTTGGAGTTAAAATGCCCCGTTACTGTCTCTTTGGAAACAATGTCACTCTGGCAAACAAATTTGAGTCCTGCAGCGTTCCTCGAAAAATCAATGTCAGTCCAACAACTTACAGGTACTGATTGTCTTAGATGACTAAAATCTGTTTCTTTTATTTTGTGTGAATTTATGGGTTTTTTTTTATTAAATGTGCTTTTACTTAAGTAGTAAGGCAATCAATAGCCTTTCATTCTCACGATTTTATATTTATTTGTTTTAATCTCAATTACATTCTGTCCCTTTAAATTACCTATTGCCTGTTCCTTGGCATATTTGCTCCCAAGTTGCATTTTTTTTTACATACAACATCTCCTATGGAATTCTTGAAAACTTTTTATTCATTTACTTGAAAAGCTTAGTCTTCTTAGGGGAAAACTTTTTTTGGGGGGGAGTGGGGGAGATACATAGCTGTCTATCCATTATTTTGTGAAGTTGGTAGACTGCTATGGGCAGATCCTAAAAGAGAGACCACGTGTAACTAAGAAGGAGCAAAGCAAAGACAGATACTCTGGAAACCCTTCACAGGCAATGAGAGAAACACTAAATTCTGCCTCTTAACAGCATGCCAACAAATTATTCTTAATTAAATAAGGAAAATAATAATCAAAATCCAAAAAAGAGACTACCATGTAGCATAGGTTAAGCTGCATGGGGAAAAAAATCTTAATGATAAAAATCTTTATGCAACAAAAAGTTTTCCAACTCTAGCTTGTAGTTTTGTTTGTTTGTTTCAGTTATGTGACATGATCATGGGAGCAGCTCAATCTGCTCCCATGCCTTCTTGTGGCACGAAGGTGATTCTGAGATCTTAAAGACAAAGGGAGTGGTCAGAAGCCTCATCCCAGAAAGATGAGTATTGTCTTGGAATAGACAAAAACTGTTTTCTGAGGACCTTTCCCCCTAACTACAGAAAGCCTTATCACTATTAGATAAACCACCTGGTGATGAATTCTTTGGTACGAAACAAAAGTAGTTGGATAATAGCCTTTATTTTTCTGCAGTATTGGTGGAAGAATAATAGAAAAGAAGATAGAGGGTGCTAAGATTTATGTCATCTCTATACAAAATTAGCTGTTGACATTCTAAATGTGAGATCTTAACAAATGGAGGAAAGAATCTTGGATTGATTGTATATACTACCCCCCAAAAAGCCACGAAGAGGATATCAATAACTCCTGATCTGTAGTTTCACTTTCATAGTTCTATGAAAAAAAATTATATTTCAAACAGTGATAATGAGAATGAGTAAGCTTTCCTGAATGACATTCTGCAATAAAATTCGCATTTACAGTCGCACAATGAAAGATGCATAGAATACAAGATTCCGCTGAGTTATTATTTGATTTAAAAAAGAATTTTAATAGTGTGAAAATGCAGCCTTAAGAGTCCTCTATACAAAGTATCACTCACTCATATGTTAAAATCAGTCTAGATTCTTTAAACAATGTAATCATAGACATAATTTTATTCATGTGAGGCATAAAATGGAAAATATGCTTGCCAAAGGGGGTTACCCCTATCACAGAGGATGTCCAGCACAGAACCCAAATGGAAGGACTATTCCCCATGGATGAGATCTTTCAGATGATACTATTTGTGGGTAACATTGTGATGGTTGCATTAAGACTTAGAACAATTTAGAGCCTCCAAAATACTATACATAGTTATTCAAAAGAGCGTATCTAAATATTGACTCGAGAAAAAAAATTAGTAGATGAAGTTATGTTGTATTCTTTTTGTCACTGCTCAGCAAAAGTTTGATTTTCATTTTCTCATCAACAGCATTAACTTTTAATCAATTTATTCCAACAGTGTGCAGTGCATTCAGTACTGCCATATATTTGAAAGCATTTTTATAGTCTGTGCACAGCACATGAAGATGCAATATTCTCAATGTTGTCCTTGAAGTTTCCAGAACGCATATATGCAATGTGTAGTTGAAATACCAAATTGCGGGCATGAATGATCTTATACACCATATCCAAAAAGTCTCATTGCAGTTTTGAGCTTATTAAGGCTTTATTTGATTTATTTATTTATTGTTTAATTTAATTTAATTTAATAAGCTTATTTAAGGTTCTTAAAGTTTAAAACTGCACTAAGGTTTTTGGGACAACACATTAGGTAGGGGCAGCTAGGTTGTTTAGTGGGTAGAGCACTGAACCTGGAGTCAGAAAGACCTGAATTCAAATCCAGCCTCAGACATAGCTTGTGTGACCCTGGGCCGGTTACTTAACCTCTGTTTGCTTTAATACCCTGGAGAAGGAAATGGCAAACCACTCCAGCATGTTTGCCAAGAAAACCCCATGGACAGTATGATCCACAGGGTCACAAAGAGTCAGACACGACTAGATAACTGAACAGCAATATATAGGGTGTTGCAAAAGTCTTAGTGCAGTTTTAAGCTTTAATAAGTTTAAATAAGTTTGTTAGAATAAATTAAATAATAATTACATCTAACAAACCAAGGTAGATTAAGCAAAGCTTTAATAAATTTTAAAATGTGCTAAGACTTTTGGGACATGCTGTACATTTCCACTTTTAGAAAGAGTTTTGACATGCCAGCGGGGGGGTGAGCCTCGAATTTATTTCCCTGTTTCTTCTGTTTTGATTTGCTACAACCAGTCAATTACCAGGATTTTAAATATAATCTTCCTTCTTCTTCCTCACATGTTAGAGAAATCTCAAGATGTTTCAGCTACATCAGAGTTCTTAATCCGGAGTCTATGATCTTGTTTTTAAAAATACTTTCATAACTATGTTTCAGTATGATTGGTTTCCTTTGTTATCCTTTTTTTCATATTTTATGCATTTGAAAGCATTATTCTAAAAAAGGGATCCACCGTTTTCACCAGGTTGTCAAAAGGATTTATTATGTGCGCGCGTGCGCACACACACACACACACACACAGAGTTAGTACTTAGGTTAGATCAAGGATAGGGAACCTGCAGCCTGCAAGCCACATGTGGTCTTCTAAGTCCTTGGGTGCTGCCTTTTGAGTGAGTCCAAGTTTTACGGAACAAATCCTTTTATTAAGGGAGTTTGTTCTGTGAAGCTTGGATTCAATCAAAGGGCAGCACTTGAGGACCTAGAGGACCACATGTGGCCTCAAAGCCACAGGTTCCCCACTCTGGGTAAGATAATACCAGTTGTGTGGGTTTCATGTCCCTAAGTCTTATAAACCAATTAATCAACAACAAACATTTATTTAGAACTTACTACATGTCAGACACTATGCTAGGGGTACTAGACTACAAAGGCAACAGTAAAACATTCCCTGCCCTCAAGAAGCTTACATTCTATCAGCATATACAGAATATATGCAAAGTGATTTTGGCACACTAGGATCTGGAAGGATCAGGAGAGGCTTCATTTAGAAGATATTGTTTGAATTGAATCTTGAATGAAACAAGGAATTCTAAGGGGCAGAGGTGAGCAGGGAGAGGGCATCCCAGGACATGGAATAAGCAGTGCAGTAGTGTGGAGATGGGAGATGTCGTGCCATTGTGTAAGAAACAACAAGAAGTCCAGTTTGATTAGATCAACAATAATAAGGTAGGTTGAGGCAGGGTTGTGAAGAATGGGAGATAGACAGTCATGTGTTGTTGTTGTTGTTATCGTTCAGTAGTTTCAGCCAAGTTTGACTCTTCATGACCCCATTTGATGTTTTCATGGCAAAGATATTGGAGTAGTTTCCTTCTCCAGCTCATTTTATGGAAGAAGAAACTGAGGCAAATTGGGTTAAGTGACTTGCCCAGGGTCACACAGCTAGGAAGTGTCTGAGGCCAGATTTGAACTCAAGCTTTCCTGACTTCAGGCTGGGCATTCTATCCACTGCACCACCTAGCTGCCCATGGGTGTAGAACCAGGAAAAAAAAAAAAGGCCAATTTAATTGGCTCATAGATGTGATGCATGATAAGGCTAGAAAGGTAGAGTGATACCAGGTTGTGAAGGACTTTAGATTCAAAATAGAGGGGTTTATATTTGAACCTAGAGATAATAGAGAATCATGGGCATTTATTGGGTGTGTGGAGGGGGTAGGAGTGAGAGTGTGACCTAATCAGACCTGCACTTTGGGAAAATCACTTTTGCAAGTGTGGGATGATGGATTGGAGAAATGAGAAACTTGAGGCAGGGAGATTAATTAGAGAGATCCACTGAAATAGTCCAGGGGCCAAGACACTGAAAGTAGTGGGCTTTGTGGTATTCATAGAATCACAGAATTTCAGATTTTGAAGAGATACCAGATATCAGAAAGAAATATAAGGCAGTACGTTTATTTGGACATGGGAATAAATGATAGCTTTTGGGAGAAGGGAGAGGGGTCTAGACCTGTGATTTAATGAGCCTGGAGGAACTCCTGGTATGAAAATTAATTCCATTCATACAGATCAGCAAACTGATCTATAATGTATAATCACCATTATCTGGAGAACTGAAAGATGAAGCCCTTTTCCAAGAACCCTATAGTTACTTACTTGAGTACTAAGAATACTTAACTCCTGGGTCTTCTCAACTTTGAGGTCAGCTCTCTCTATTAGGCCAAGCTGCCTCTTTAGAAGAAGTCAGTAGTGTTACTTTAAATGATTTCCTCTAGAAGAGTTTTATTTTCCATGTTATAATAAGCTTCAGGAGGAAAGAGACAGTTTGAAATTTCCATTGGACGTCTGCGCTTTGTAAATATATAATTAACAATTGACTTTAAAACACAGGCAGACAGTTTGGGTTTAAATCTAGTTGCAGTCTAAGTGGTCGGCACAAATGGACTTTTGTGTAGAATAACCAAGAAACACTATTTGTCATGAAGTGTAAATATTTCTCTTGACAGGCCCTTTGGTAGCATGTTTGTTGAAAGCTGAACTCTGGAAGAAGGTTCCTGAGAATAAAATTCATTGTCTAATGTCAAGGATCCTTTTGATATATTTATGGCAAACATGATGTGAATTCGGGACATGGAATACATACCACCTAAAAAATACCTTTTGTGGATAACAAATAAAAGAATGGTGTCATGCTGAAATACTCATTATTTCCGGATTTTGACCAATAAACCAAGATATGTTAGTCCTAATGG